ACAATTTAGTAGTCATTTTTATGAACAATTGGGCACATTTTGGAAACAGTCGATTTTCACACACCAGTGACTGATATTCTCACCCCCTGCAAGCGTGCCATATGGATTTTCCTGTGTTCTCTGAACACATAGGAGAATACAGAGCAGGGACAGGCCCAAAGGAGCAAAAGGCCGGCAGCTCCATCGATAACTGTTCTGGGTTTGTTACATGGGCAGTCCTTTGAAATTCCAGCTGGCACTGTTTATTACTACAATGAAGAATAGTTAAGAATATAAATAACTAATATCCAGGATGGCAGGTGCTGCCTGTGTACAAACACAATTTATTTTATATTCATAGGAGCGCAGGAAAGTAGATGCTATTATTATCATTATTTGAAAGGAGAGCTAATTTTGGGATAAAATTTAAGTCTTTAATACATTAAGTATAGCAAGTTTTTTATGCTACCAGTGCTGGGAAGTAATTCTACATAGCAATTGTTGGTTCCATTACAAAAATAAAATGCCTCCCCTTGCTACAGAGATGTCCAGAGGTTAAGTGGTGCATAGGAACATACTTTTTCATCAGGCTGCCTGAGTATTTTTGGAACTTGATTCCCAATTAGCCCTTAGTTTAGGTTATTTTCATCAATGAGATGAGAAAAAAACATAGGTGTGCATCATCTTACTCTTTTATAATTTTCTTTCAAGTAAATCAATACACTTATATCTCAGAAAATCTAGAGCTTTAAATGCCTTTGATCTTTCTGAAAATGAGTATATTCATGAAGAAATTATTCATACTAAATTCTATTCTGTATGATAGAAACACAACCTTGACATGAAACTATTGCCATGATTTAAGAGGATTATATTCCTCAAAAAATTGGTTAAAATGTTCATCTTTATCTGTTTTTTGCTTTATCCTATCAACTTAATGAAACCAAGAATGACAAGATATATGGAAAACCTGCATTTCAAGCCATGATTTTATTCTGAAAATCAAATCTATTTTTAACAGATACTGAGAGCCAGAGCTTAATTTTTACACAAAATTATGCATTCACAAAAAAACTGTGAATGAAGCTACTGCTTGTTAAAAGAACATAAGTAAGTGATGGAGTAAACTGCCACCTAGAGTTGAGATTTGAATTTAGTTCACTGTATGTTATAAAAATGATCTTATTAGTTTTAGATTCTTAGATATTTCATATTTAAAATGCACACAGACATCCTTCACTATAACGACCATTCATTCCTCTGTAAACTCCATGTCTGTATAGAGGCAGAACTTCTGCAAAACCAAATAGAAAGGCAGTATTTTAAATAAGAGAAATAAATAAGACTTACACAAGACTCTTAGAATTAAAATGTTTACTGTCTGTTATATATTAAAAAGTGTTGGGAAAATGTTTACTATATTTACATATGAAATTGTACATGTTACAGTGATCAAATTATTTAGAGTATCTCAATTGTGAATTCCTGAAAAAGTACTCAGCTCCCTTTTCTAATTACTGTACAACTTACTGATTCCTACTTTGTTTACATCCACACTGGGGTATCAGAAGCATCTATAGCATGTTAGCATCACTGTTAAAATCTGGGTAAACTATTAAGATTTAGATATTCCAGTTAATTAATTGTCCTAAAATCTGGACATCTGATATTTCACTTCCTTACTTAGAATGCTCTAAAATCATATCCTTATCTGATCCTCTGAAAGCAATGGAATAGCCATAATCGAACTCAGACGGCTTAATAAATGCTGAGCACACAGGCCCACCCTGTCTTATCTATGTTTCTCTTGTTGCTGAGACAAAATAGCCCATACCCACAAGTTTATGGAGGAAAGGTTTAGTTAGATCACATTTCATAGAGGTTTTAGTCCATAATCAGCTGGCTCCAAAACCAGGTGGCATTAAAGAGAAGAAACAGTTCATGGTAGGCAGAAAGCCATAAAGCAACAAGATGGGAAACAGCAGCTTAAGCCTGGCCCTTTTGTCTCTACGTAGGTTCCTGGGTCAGGGTGGTACCAAACCAACCACTAATAAATTATTGGACTAATTTATTTATCCTGCACCCTTAATTCTAGCATCACATTCTCTAGATTCATCCACCTCTGCAAAAGCCCCATCTATGACCACGTGAGGCTTTGGGGGCATCTGAACATGAGTCATAACACACCCCAAATTTCTACCTAGCTGGAAGAATAGAAAGGATTTCTCCATCTAACCACTCATGTGCAGCCCAGCTGAAGTCTTAACTCTGTGTGTGCGTGCATGTGTGTATGTGCATATGTGACATAGAACTTGGCTTTTCTGGAAAAAAAACAAAACAGAATATCCACAAGCAAAGAATTTAAAAGGAAGCAGTTGATAATACTTCACCTACAAAATCTTGGTCATGTTTGTCACCCGACTAGCCTTTCTCAACCCTCATCCTGTACCGGGTTTTTCTTTAAGTCTATTGATGCATGGAAAACAGGTTGTAGACTCTTTCTGTATCATACAATGACTTACATTTTCTCTCATTCCAATGCTTCTTCATTCTTATTCTCCCCACCCACTTTCCCAGAACAAACTTATCCTTATATCTTGCCATAAGATTTTCTTTCAACATTCTTTCCCTTCTATCACCACTATTCTCTTCATAAACCCTTGGTGCGGTCCCGAGGACAACCTCATGTTTGAGGCAGCCTGTTTCCATGGCATCCTTTTATCTCTTTTACATTCTCTTGTCTTCCCATCTCTTATGGCTGCCTCAGTGGGGCCCTTGCCTTCCAACCACTTCTATAATTTTCTGAAAGAGGGGAAGGTAGGTTTCTTCCTCATTCCCTGGAAATTTCTGTATGGGTCAGTTGCACTGCTTTTCTTTATTTTATTTTATTTTATTTTATTTTATTTTATTTTATTTTATTTTAGTGTGTGTGTGTGTGGCCAGCTCAGCCCACCAGGGGGCGGGGCTGGCTGGCATGTGGTGCTGGGGATCGAACCGCGGTCCCTCTTCTTTGACTAAGCTTGTTCTAAGTAGGTGCTTTAGACCATTGAGCCATCTCACCAGCCCTGCTTTTCCTTCTTGATACTTGATATCACACCTTATTTGTTCTGTCACTTTGCCTACTTGTGCCTATGGGTCTCTCTCTTTCCTCTTGGACTGTTCTCTAAGTCATCTTTATCTATTTGAAAGGGATTCAACCTTCATCGCCCTCTTGGTTTCTATCCTAATATCAAGTCACAGATTAGTGTCTTGATATTTGAGTGTAAACATCTTACTATATGATTGTTTGTTTTTAAAAAGACATTATTGTATATGGTTTTATTACTCACAATATTATTGTTGTTGCCCTTCTTCAGATAAGGAAACCTGTGCAAAACCAGTTTAAGTACCTTGACCAAAGAAACATAGTCAATGAGTAATAAAGCTGGAATTGTCCAAAAAGTTAAGCTCCAGAGTCCATCAAGTCACTAGCCCATGCCACTCCAAGGCCTTAGCACCTCTCTTAACTTTTTTTAAACAACTTCCACCCCACACCAGCTATATATTTCCAAAGACAAAAGTAAGTCCAGATTTATGGTGCTCTACAAAGGCTTTGGGAAAGTCAGCTTACCTTAGATCATTGAGGAACAAAGTATCATGAATCCAGGCAGTACTGCTGCACAGCGGAAAAGTGGTATGAAGGATTTGGATAGAAGGCCAGGATCTGATTCCAGGCTCTGCCATCTGTGTGGTGATGTGTAGCTATTAACTCTCAAATTCCTCTTTGTCTGCCTTTATCCAATGTTATGATTTAAATCCAAAGTTAATTTTTTTTTCTTTTTAAAAATATATTTTCCTTTCCTTCCAAATTCCTGTGTCTCTTCCAAGCCAGAGTTGTCTTTTGGCTGGCTGCTATTTGAACAGAACAAAGATACTGAGCCCCAGACCCCATCCTTTCTCTTTGCAATCTCTTCTATTTGTTCATTCTGATCATGTTTAACTGTTCTCAAAGTCTGCTAAATGTTAGTCACCTTTTATTCTTTCTTTGCTTTTTTTTGATACAGGGTCTCACTACGCAGTATGGGCTCGTAGTGATCCTGCTGTCTCGGCCTCCCTAGTGCTGGGATTACAGGTGTGTGCCACCATGCCTGGTTCCAGGGCCCACACAGCGCGCCTGGGGTTCTGGGGCTGGCAGGGCATGTGGTACCAGGGTTCGAACTAAGGACTCTGAGCTTGCCAGGCAGGTGCTTATAACACCAAGCTATCTCCCCAGCCCCTATAAATTTTCTGATAGGATTTATAGGGCAATATAAATAAACCACAGAGAACAAATGATAGTTGAAATAAATAAACTGCAGAGAACAAATGATAGTTGAAATAAACTGCAGAGAACAAATGATATTTTCTATAAGAAATATCATTACAATAAATGGCAAAACTGCATGCAAATTCAGGACAACTAGTGGAATGTTTATTATCTTCATACAATCATAGCAATGAAACAGTTGTTTAAGGAAACTATACACATACTCTGGCACCTACTAGTGTATCAGTTAGTGTAGTGATAGAAAAATATTGTGAATGTTTATACTTAAAGAGCTATTGCAGTAAAAGATACATTACTGTTAGTCAAATACAGTCATCCCATCATTCTTGTTTTCAGTTTTGTCTTTCTTTCTTTCTTTC